TTTATTATTACTACTTGTCATGTGACCAGAACCAGTTACTTGCAATCCATCCATCATTTATGTTTGCACTGAAGGTAAACATTTTATTTGCTGGATTATCTGTGCAGTAACTTTATACTAAATATTAGTTCTTAAATTGTCTTTGTGTGAACAAAGAGCCAAAGGCTTTTTATAGCATCTTAAATCTGTTCAACTATATGATACATTTCAACTTTAGCACCAATCTTCAATGTCATTTTGGCTTCAGTAGACCAAATAAATTACGTGATAGATTAGTCAGAGGACCTAAATTTGGCACTTTAATGTAACTACAAATTGGTTATCTCCATAATAGTCTTAAATAAAATTATACTCATCTATGTCATATGGTTGCTTGTTGTTGCCATTATGATAATGCTTTGTGAACAAAAATCACATTCCCCTCTCAAATGTAGTTACATTTAATTAGTAATAAAAAGATTATATGAGGCTGACCAAAAGAGCTCTCTTGGACAAATACTGACTACTATAAACTGACTACTGTAATTAGTGGTCAGGATGTACATTCAGGTACAGTGCCATGTGTCCATCTGTAAGATGCCATCCAGTAATAATGCTCTTTCTGAAGCCCTTTCCTGCCTGTGAAACATCAGTTCTCAGAAAGCATTGCTGTAGCTCGTTCCAGGGACTTCGGTAACATTATGAAAAGCGAAGATCTGCCAGTTGTTCCTTGTATACAAAACTTAATGTCAACCTGACAGTGAAATAGACCATGTAAGGATATGGCTGCTTTGTGAAACACAATAACCAACCATCACTATCCTTTCTCCTCCGGCTCTGAGCTGCTCTGGAGGGAACAATATCGGGCTGATTATCATATTTTGCTCAGCGCTGCTTTGTTGGCACATGGGAGCAGATGGGCTGATGCTTTGCTGTCTTGCTGTGTGTTTTTTTTAGAAGACAACGCTGTGGATGACACATATAGGCAGCGTGTTTAACATACGTTCTTGTCTCATTTAAATGAAGATACGGTCGTGAATTAGCTGACGGTCTGACTGAATGTATTGAGTCACTGGTTGTCTGTGTATGCTAATGATTTGTAGTCGTTTCCTCTGCTCTGTCGCCTGTAACACATTTCACAACTGTGTTGAGGACTGCACTTGAGCAAGGGTGTCATGCACCTAATCCTCGAGTCCACAACTTTGTGTTTATTTTGACATAATTTAAAACATAGGTTACCAACATGCTAATTAGGGAAAGCTGACTTGGAGCAGATAAAAGTACAAGATACATCTACAGTAATGTTTAGCTTGAGAGCCTTCATTCTTTACCCAGTACCTTTACTCCAATTTAGGTCAACTGAGTAAACAGCTCAGCACACTTGGAGGAGAACTTTACATTAGTTAACAGATGCCTGTGTTGGCTAGCATCCCACTTAGTGAATGGAGGAAAGAGAGGTTCATCCTACCCACGCAGAGAGAGCAAGGCCAATAATACTGTCTTGGCTACCTGGCTTCCCTGCTGGAAAAACCAACCTAGATCAGCATAGCTGGTCACCAGCAAAATCAGCATATCATCTCTTTCCAAAGAATAACAAATATTTCCAAAATTGAGGAGACAAACATGTTCTTAACTCTTAATGTAATTTAATGTAAAGAATTTTTATTTCAAGCAGTATTGGAGCATTTCTATTGGTCCATTAACCATGAAATTTTCTCACAATATAAAGGATAGTTGGTGTGCTTGAATGATGTAGAAAGGTGAAAATCAGAAAGAGAAAGAGATCTTTATTTTTTGGGCAGCAATGGTATGCTGTGTTTTGGATGCTGGTATGCTGGTCAACCAGCATGACCATGCTGGCTGACCAGCTGAACCAGCACTAGACCAACACTAAACCAGCATAAACCAACTTAGACCTGCATGGAAATCTTTTTTTTAGCAGAGGCTCCAAGCTCTGTACAGTAAAGTCATGCCTTTCATATCAATATTGTTTTAACATGCCCTCACCATTTCCCAAACACCACCTTAAGGGCTGTTCCATTGAATAACTCATGTGAAGCTTGGTAGATGAACCCTTGGAGGTGCAAGGAATCAAGAAGCATAAATGTAGATTTCAGCAGCCAAACTTGCAGAGAAATCATTGCAATCTGATGCAATTCCCTTTTCAAAACTGAAAATAATACTGGACAAACGTGTGTGTAAGCCAGAGCAAAAGTTACCTTAAAATACTTAATATTTCAAAAACTATAACAGTTTGTTCAAACTGGGCTTTATGACACAGGCATTGCGCAAACAGTTCTCATTCTAAGACTGACGCTTAAGCCAGACAAAGCAGTTATTATATGTTTTTGTTTGTTATGTTTGGACTTTTAAAAAAGAGTGTGCTTAGCTAGTTAATTAGCTCACTTGACATTCCTATTGAAGAATCTGCTCCTCATTGTTCACTCTTCCCATTGTCCTGTGAGTGCCCACTTGTCTAACATAGGTTGTGGAGTTGTGTGGCAAGGGCATGTTAAAAAGAGTATTGAAAATACTGAAATAGTAAATATTTCAATAAGTGGGACCATCTGTGTTGTCCTATATCAGCAGTGTCCAATCTTATCCACAAAGGGGCCATTGTGGCTGCAGTTTTTAGTCCAATAAAGCACAAGCACACATGATCGGTTGTTTAAAGGCTGAGAGTAATGGAATAAACAAATATTGTTCAACGGCCTGATTTGAATGAAACGTGCAGCCACGCTGGCATTCTGCAGATTAGATTGAGGATCGAAGATTGAAGGAAACCAAGTTGCTACCCAAACGTGGAGGGGAACTTGTATAGCTTAGTTGTAGTTTATATTGGGGGAAACAAGTACAATAGGTATCCAGAATGTTTCTATAATCTAAATAAGGTATAATTACTTGCTAAAAACAACAGAACCAAAATATTTGTGAGGCTGTGGCTCCTCACAGCTTTAATGCCCTCAGCCTCTCTGCATTCCAGCATCGGAGTAGGAATTCCTTTCTTTTGGAAGAGCACTACAGTTGTCTTCTGGGTATCAGCATTTGAGCAGATTGTAGTGCATCTGCCTAAATAGTTTTAAAATGCTTCATTCAAGACAGTCATTATAAAGTAAGTTGCTGTAGGTGGAATTTTGCAGACTTTTTTGTTTCACTGTACCAGCCTATGATTAGGCTTGTCCATATTGTCTAGACGTCAGTTTTCTAGATAGCTGACACTTTGCCTCTAACTTGTCACCCACTTGTCTTGCCATGACTCCATTACAGCATGCTGACCATGTGTCTCAATTAGCTGTCACAGACTAGCGGAAAAGGCCTCTCTGACCATGTGTCTCTATTAGTTGTCACAGACTAGCAGAAAAGGCCTCAGGGCACTGCCTCATTTCATTGCTTCTTTTCATTAGTAAGGCTTTATTTTTTCCACTTTTTCTCCCAAGAATGCCATCAAAAGCAGCAAGAAAAGCTATCAAAGTTTGGCACTGCAGTAAACAGTGAGCACAAAAGAACAGTGAGCACAGAACCAGTTACATTTAAGTCCTAGAGGCTTATTACTTTCAAATAAGTGCTTGTGCTCAGCCCCAATATAAAAGAAAAAGTACAGGACAAATGCAGAGAAGTGTAGCTACATAAAACACAAGAAAAAAAATGGACTTCTCCGAATCCACTAAGCCCAGCAAGCTGGAGGCAAGAGTTAATTTGTTGGTGTAACGAAATTCAAAGTTTGAATTCGTTAATGCTCCAGCAGTGGGACTCATTTGGCTCTCATATTTCTTGCTTTATTTTTCTTTATGTCTCGCTGCCTCCAGCCCCCCTCTTTCTCCAATCCCTCCTACATCTTTCTCCTCTCATCTTCACTCTGTATTTCTCCTGTCCTCAGCTTCCCTCTGGCTCAGGCATCTCTCTCTTCTTTTTTCCTTTATTCCTCTCTCCTCCACCTCCTTTCAGCTTTCATTCCATCTTCCGATCTTCAGCTCTTCCTCCTTCTCTTCCCACCTTTCCTTCTTTCCATCTGGCATTCGCGTCCCCTTCATCAGAGGATTCCTGAAGCACACTGGCTTGACTTGGTCCCCTTCCTCCTCCTCATCCTCCTTCTCTTCCTCCTCCCAGCACTGGAACCTCCATCCAGCCGTTACGCTCCTCACCTCAACTCAGCTCAGCCTTGTTTGTTACATAGCACTTCTTGTACTTTAAAAGTATCACCAAAGTAGACTTCCATAGTATTAAACGAAATGATATGAAGGAAAGTAAAAGAGTACATTAATAGATGTAAAAATACAAAGTACAAGTACAAGAAGTGTAAGAATTAAGGTTGAAAAAACTTGAATAAAGTCAGAAGTGTTCACAATGGTGGTGATTAAGTGTAATGACTTTAAAAGCTCTCTTGCAGAAAGTTATTACACAAAATGGATATGAGTACCTTGCCTGCAGCCTGGGACATTGTTTTACTGTAGTTTTGATGATAAAGCTTTTTTTTTAATACATTCATGGCAGAGAGGTACATGCAGGGCATTCTAATGCAAAATAGTTCACAAAGAAAAAAATATATTTTCAAATTTACCACTATTTTACAATTTTTTTGGACGGTAAATAAAATAATTAACTAATGAAATAAATAAATAAAAAACAAGCCCTAGTTAATGTGATCACTGCTGTAAAGAACTTGATAAGTTTATTTAGAATGGATAATTTCACATCAAACCACTCTGAATGACTTTGTTTGCAATCTAAATGATTGTAATATGCAGAAATTTAACAAATTCCCTTCAACATACCCTTAGATTCATAAAGCCGTGTCTTAATTGCAAGGCAGGAATTTTGGAATATTTCCAGTCAAAATTGCCTAAAATTAATGATAAAATCTTGTTACATTAATTTACACTGAAAGTTAAGAAGATATTTTATTTCTCGTTACAAACAGTTTTGTTACAAATCGTTGAGGTTTTTTTAGAATCATTCAAACACTGATTGCTAGATTGTTCCATAATTGTGGTCCTCCTACAAATGCCTTCTCTCTCCTATAGATGATTTGACCCCGCCCCCCTTCCATCTGACCCGTCCAGGAGAAGGCCCGCCCGTCCCAGTAGGAATGCCCCCTCTGGCCCGGTGCCAAGCTCTGCCCGCTGCCACGCCCACTGCTCCTCTTCCTCTTGCCTTCCCGCCCCCTGCCGCCATCACCGCCATCTGCAGGCTCCTGCATCATGAAGGATGAGGTCATCAGCACCAACGCGCTGGCCTGGCTGGTGTGCTCGGGCGTGTCCATCCTGGCCAACGCCTGGGGCATCCTGAGCGTGAGCGCCAAGCAGAAAGAAGTGGAAGCCACTGGAGTTCCTCATCTGCACGCTGGCCGGCACGCACATCCTCAACATGGGCATCCCCATCACCATGTACTGTGTCATCCAGCTCCGGCGCCAGCACTCCAGCTACGAGTGGAACGAAGGCCTCTGCAAGGTGTTCGTCTCCACCTTCTACACCCTCACCCTGGTCACTTGCTTCTCCGTCACCTCGCTGTCCTACCACCGCATGTGGATGGTGCGCTGGCCCGTCAATTACAGGTGAGGCCCAAGATGCTCATGCTGGTCTTTTCTTCTGGCTTGTGGAACCGGTGGTTGCCATGGTGGCAGCTGAGCTGGTAACTGTTGTCTTGGAGATTGATTTGCAAAGCTAAATTTGTTTACATTGATTTTGGAGTGTGTGCTGATTGATTGTTTAAGATTACATTTTTTGGATTCTTTATTTGTGAAGAGCAGTCATTCTATTCTGTTATGAGCTGTAATAGGAGGGATCACGGCTCCTCCACTATAGTCAGTGTAAACAAACTCTTTTGAGCCTTAAAGAAAAACATAAAATTATTTTCCTTTTACTCCAGATGTAGTCTATCAGCCACATACAGCAACATACAGTCTAATTTAAGACAAAGTTTTTCATTACAAATGATATTGTGAGCAAAGCAATGTGAATGAACAGTAGAATCTTTGAAATTTTAACATAAATTTCAGAGTGTCTTAGTGTTTATCCCCCTTTTGCTTTAGTGATAGCATTCACCTGAGCTGACATGGACTCTGATCACCAACAGTGACAAAAATCCTCTAATAAGTAGATCAAATCCAACTGAGAGTTTCTGAACTCAAGTTTTAATAGAACGAATACGACTTTTCTTTGGTTTTAATTTTTCAAAATTCTCAATCTTTCTGTTAATCTGTTGCAGATTAAATTAAAACAATCCTAGATTTTCAAAGTGGTCTTAGACTTTTGGACCCCACTGTCCCAATGTTTGACTTAAAAGGCCCATTTTCACTTACGGTCCACTTATGACACCTGTGTGGATGTGTATGTAAAAGCAGTCAGAATTTATTTTTGCGTGACCATTTTCCAACCTCTCTTTATCCCTTAGAATTAAACAGGCTGTGACTGTGCCTGAGCCTGATATATGTAAAATAGTTCTGATTGACTGTCCTGTATTGTGCCTCAATCAAAAAGCAGTTCAAGCTGAAACACTCTGTATAACTTCAGCTTAAATGGGTGGAGCCAAATTGTATAGCTTAATTTCCAAATAATATACTCTATGGACTGAATTAACAGTTATTAAAGTTAAACAATGCTTATATAGCACATCAAATTGTTTTATTTCAAAAAGTGAGGAAATTTAGTTTTTTTCCAAGATATTGACTCTTTAATACAAATGGAGAAAAGTACAAATGAATTTCAAGCTTCAGGATGGCTTACAGCAGGGGTGCCCAGTCCTGATGACGTACCTCCTTCAAGAGTTTAGTTACAACCCTCCTCTAACAGACATGATACAGTTCATCAAGGCCTTCAGTAGTACCTGAGTATTAGAGCCAGGTGTATCCAGCCTTTACTAAACTGTGCTTTTATTAACTGATTAAGACTCAGTTCACTTTGTATCACTGTGTTTTCTCTAGAGTCTGGTTCAGTGTCTCAAAATTACTGGAAGGTAAAGTGTTATTTATTTATAATTGTATTATTATTATTATTTATTATTAATATATATTTAGTAATTATTATTGTGATGTGTGAAAAAATAAACATTGTAGGAATAAAAAAATAAAAGGTAAAGCAAAGAGAAAAAGTCACCCCAAAATTCCACATAAACCCCCATTTTTTGAGATGATCGCAATTTTTCAATCTGACCACAGTTATTTTCCACAGTCGTTTGATGGCACCGTAATATCTTATTGCAACAAATGTGAACTGGATGTGTTTTTCAGTAGTTGAGATTTGAGCTAAATCAATGTAAGTAAAATAAATCATTCTTCTAACTGTTCTAATTCTTTTAACTGTGTGCTATAAATCATTAAGGGGGAATGTTTGTTAATTTTAGAACGTATGCAAACATATTGCAAAACTATTAATAAACAATTTTTACATTTCTACAAAAATAAATGGTTAAGATCTCAGTCATTAAGAGTGGTTGGATGTGAAATGCTTTGTTCTAGACTCAGAATTGTTCGAAGTGGTGGTGATGGGAACCAGTCTTATGATTGTGCATCCTTAATTTTTATAGATAACAATAAGTCAAACATTGTCAGAACCCACATAAGCAAGAATATTTGAGATACATAACAACTTGCAACACTGATGCAAGTGTGTGATGATTTAGCCATGCAGTTCCCATGATTTAGCCATGCTACTTGGTAAAGTATAAAATTACATGACTTGCTCTTCATTTGCCTCATAGCTCCAGTACAAACACTAAAGAAACAAACTTTGGAGAAGAAACATGTCTTGACTGATCGACTACATTTTGGGCTAAGTGGAAAAATGATGTACATTTTCCACTGATCTCTACTTTAAAATACAGGCCTTTCATAGCAGAGGCTGCTGGGTTCTTGCATTCAGGGCTTTGCTTATTCATTTTCTCAGAGGAATGTCTCCACTTTTCCACTTTTAGATATTGCAGTAGTGCCAAATCTATATTTATGCTATGCTTTTGCCAAAGAGACTTGTTAATTAACTGCAGAACAGTCCCCATGGAAGAGGCTGGGGTTAAGTGCTTTGCTTGAAGGCACAATAATGGCAACGATCAACCAGGACCGTACCTGACCTCTTGAGTTAAACCCTGACCACTGGTCGACCACTGTGTTGTTCTAAATTTCCTGATTGTGACCTAAAGACAAGCAGATGATTTAATTTGAACTATGCAATGCAAGGACATTCCAGACTGTATTAGCTCTTGGTGCATTAACTGTTCCATTTTTCTGTGGAACCCTTGAGCTATTTTCCAGGTGCCTTGCTACATCCATTAACAGTGGACAAATCAAGTGCGTCATTTGTAATGACTGAATGTCTAATGGTGATATTTCAGCTTAGTTATCTAGCTTGCTGTTGACCCTGTGTTTGGTGCCATATTCACAGTAAGAGAGCTGATGTAATCCAAGATTGGCACATCATCTCATACAATATAATAATATAGCCTCAGGTCAGTCTCCTCTCTGAAGAGTACAGTACAAACTTAGAAATATACTGAAGGAAAAAAGACACAGCTCTGCACTGCAGTCTGCAGAAATTGTCTAACTGCCATATAATTAGCAGTTAAACTGGGGTATTCTATTACTTCAGACCCTAAAACCAGTTACAGATCTACCATTATTCCAATTATTGGGTGGACATTTTAAGGCTAAAACAATTAACTGACATCACTGATAATGCTGCCAGTAAAAAAAACGGTGACAGATATTTCTGTAGTCAATTTATTTTTCGTTTACATGATGTTCAACCTAAAGTGAGTTATCGATTTAACCTAAAGAGGAAGCAGTTCACTTGTAGTGTCATAGCTATGTGAACAGATAGCAAAAGAAAAAGGAAACGCTTCCACACCTTACTTTTTTACCTTTAGCCATAATTGTTCTTTTTCTTTCACTATCTGCTCACATAGGTACAACGATATAAGTGAATTGCTGCCCTCTTCAGGTTAAGATATATTTGTTGACCTTTATATTGTTGACATTATAAATAGTATTGAATGATTGTTTTAACCCTACAGGTTTCTCTGTTGGAGACAAGTGTGTGATTTTGGCTTATGAGCCCATATCAGCTTTGTAGCTCCTGTGCAATTTAAAGAATATAACAAGAAACTACATTTGGGGTAAAGGACAATTGTGTACTTTTTTTTTAATCAAATATATCAAATCTATTTTAAAAGCTACATTAGCTTTAAATGACTGAGCAATCATCAGAGCTAAAGACTGCTATAAGATGTCTGCTTTATACCATTATAAATTCATTACCTTGTTTAACAGTTGGGCTCAGACATGGTTTGAAGGCATTATTTTGTTTTCTCCAAATGCAGACATGTCCAAATGTAGGACAACAGGTGAGAAACAACTCATTAGACCATATTACTTTTTCTGCTACTCAGGAGTTCAAGTTTTGTACTCTTTCTGATTGTGCATATTCATGGATTGCATCCAGGTAGGAGACCTGTATTTTAAAGATGTCAAAATTTTTTAGACTGTTTGTTAAATAACTGCAGATTTTAGAAAGACCTGCAAACTGTTTGGTCTATTTGAAAATCTATGACTTCATTTACACCTGGATGTTTCAGGTGTCTTGAGCATCAGGATTAGATCCCAAAGGAGATTATCCACGTAAAAATGCACATGCACCCAAAAATGCACCCAAGATGCAGTTAAAACAAATTTAAGTCTGATCATTCAAACCACTTCAGGACTTAGAGGAGTATACTGAGTTTAATTCAGTAGCCTTTATGGGCCTGAGCTAGTTAAAATAAAGTGCCAGTTTGGTTAATCTTTAATTCAGCTTATTGTTATTTATCGTGTCTGTACAATGCATTACATTAAAATCGAGACCGCAGCCATTAATTTGAGTAGAACATTTGTATACGAGCAAATTTGCATATTACATGCCACAAAGCAAGTAAATTTCAGTCTGAATAACTGGTGACACATTTGATTACCAAGTGTAAATGCATGTGGTTAACCACTTATCAGATTACAATCCAGATGCAAGTCACATTAAACGGCCAGGTGTAAACAGTGTCTATTAGTTGGCTCAAACATCAGTGCTCTCTTTTGATTTGTCGACGACTTTAATTGCTAGTATATTCTGCTAAATCGGCAATGTGACTGCTTTATACATTTTGAATAAAGCTACACTATGTAAGCTTTGAAGATTTGGAGACCTCTCTGGTGACAATGTGTAATTGCGCAAAACATCACAATTTTGTAGTATGGGTTGTGCTTCGGACCCCTTCCCCGAGTGGATGAATCTGATGATTGCGAACGCGTTGAAACAGTATTCAAAGAGAACTCAAAGTCAAAACTTGGTAAGAGACGTCTTCTGAGGATGTACGTGAATCATCTACTATTGTAATCATACCTTCATCAGTACAGTATTGATTTTGCATTTGAGACCTTTTTTACAGGGTGACTCGCAGCAGCACACGGACTCCATATTTTAGTGTTTTTAGCGAATTAGTAATGCTACTTCTTTCAGCTTTGCCAAAAAACATCTTACATGGTGCAGCTTTTAGTTACTTCCAAGTTAGAGTCCTTTTTCATGCAGTGTTTCTGTT